TAAATAATTTGACTATATATAGAAATAAATTGATAAATATATATCTGTATGAGTGTGTATATCTAATAATTTATATATTAAGTTTTATCTTTAGTAATTTGACTATATATTATAATTAATTAGTATGTCATTTAATGTTATTGGATAGTTTATTTTACTCTATGTATATTTTTTAAATATATGAACTTTCACAAAAATCTATACATATTAAAAATTTATTATTAAATAATATGTAATTATTGTAAAATTTAATATATATATATATATTAATACAATATAAATAAATTAAAAATATATAAATAGTGTTAAAAATTAAACTTGTGACATTTTTTTTGTTCTTTAATTAAAATAATGCATGCATACTTTATTATCCCCTCTTAATTACTTAGTTTTATATACAACTATTTTTTAATTCAAACTCACAATATTATTGTGATAAAAGTTTCAAAGGAAAGTGAAAAGGATAAATATATAGGCCGGTATTTGATTGATTGGGGGAGTCATTAAAAATTAAAAAATCTAGACATATTTATACCGTTAGGAACTTAAATACTATGTAACAAGTTTTTCTATTTAACATAACTATTTAAAATAATTGTTACTATTCCGATATTTGATACTTCAATAAACACGCAATATTAACAGCTAAGACTTAGTTAGCCTGTGTTTAAATTGATCCATTTGACTATTTCCAAGTTTATGTTTCACCAACTAAGGTTTCAATAATCGATGTTGATGCTTCAATAGCCAATTATTTCTCGATTATTTTCTTTTAGTTCACTTATTAGCTGAATTTTTCTTAAGAAGTATCTTTTAAATAAATCTTAATATCCTATAATATTGTTAGCTTTTGAATAAATACCCCACATTCAAAAAAATAAAATAAAGTAACGATTTGCACTTACCAAATAATGGCTAGGTTTGCATATTATTAGTGCATGACCAATTCACCATTCATTTAAGCATAGCCTTTCTTTTGCCACTATAGAAACTCACCTTGTGACCATCAATTATGTCAAAGAGATTCTTCACCTAAGCACCATGAAAGCACTTCCAACATGTGTTGTAGCAATGATTTTAATACCACAAGCAATATATTGTCCTCCTTTGACAAGGTCACATTCAAAATAGTACTAGTATTAGCATTTTGACAATACGAGAAGTCCCATGAATAAATGCTCCACATGCTCTACTTAGTGGGTAGAACATCGCAAGCAATATTATGTCATGTAAAGACAACCACACATGGTGATTGTGGAAATTACTATTTCATCATAACTCCATATTGGAACTATGTGCACTATTATTACATTACTATGTGTTTTCCTCCTAACATGTCACTTGGCAAACAAAATTTTAAGATTTTTAATTATAGTTTTACGGAAAAAAAACAAAATTATACAATTATAATACTTTAGAAACTTAATTTGTCTAATTAAAATTTAGAATATCAAAATCTTACAATTGGGATTAAAAATGCAATTAAGAAAATAAAAGTTTATTCACACATGCCATAATACTTCTCCACACAATTAAATGAAAATTTAAAGTAGTAGCCTATGACAATTACGGCATAACATAGGTACTTGTATAGATCTATAGAGCTAGATTTTATTAGCATATAAGTACAAAAGAATTAAAAGGAAAACAAATATTAAATTCAAAACCATTGTTGCTATGTTCCTTGATGAAGCAAACTACCTAATACATATGCAAGCCAGCTTATATACTCCAAATTAATCAAAATCTATCACTTTCATGCATTTTGAAAATTATCTTTTAACCAACCTTGCAGGCTCTTAAACAAAACTTTCTAAATATTAATACATAAAAAATCTAACAAAACGCAACAAAAGTGTGCACGTCCCTATCAACGTCCATTTTGGTTAACATAACTTTTCAAACGCGCGTCTAATCGTGTATACTTGGTGAAATTTGTATTTGGCTAATTTTTAATTTTTTTTTCTTGTGAAATCAATTTTATCAGATTCTAAAATAAACAAATTGATCACAATGATTATTACTTAAATACTTATCAATTCACCTTCAATTTCAGGTTTCAATTCAACGTACCAATATTCTGCTTTTCTTCGAGACAAGTGATATTAGTGCACTTGATTATTTATTCCGTTGGTACCCCAAAAGAAAACAATAAGTTCCCTCTGCATGGAGAAATTCAGGATCTAATCATTCTGGTGCCCATTGAATTTGATATATTTCCGAAGTGTTCATGGCACTTCTAACTTCTGCTATAGATCGTTGCATTCTAATGAAGAAAAAAAAGAGAGAGAAATAATTTGGAGCAAACAAGAAAATAAAATAAAAACAGAGAAGACCCTTGATAATTGAAGAAATTATAATGTTATATTATATACGTTTTTAAGATGATTATGCCAAGAAAGTGGCTGAAAAATTTAGAATTATTCTTCACGAAAACGTGGTTTTGGTTTGGCCATAATTCTGTTGCGGTTAATTAACAAGAAAACCCCTTTTCTACGCTTCCTAGTTCCAAGTTCCAATCATGATTAATTCATGACAGGAACCTGTGTTGTGTGAAGTGCATACTTGTACATTTTGTCTTCTCCCTGTAGATTAATCCACAAGCTATAAACCCTCTTCACCAGAATTTAGATTAGCCGTTATCATTAATCACAAATCACGTGACATAGCATATATCATATATGATATGATACCCCTTTATTAATTAAGAACCTATAGGTACTGCTACTACTTGTATGTTGCAAGCAATAACTCCATCATCATTATCACCATGGAACACACCAATTTCAACAACAACAACAACATCAGCAGCAGCAGCAGCAGCAGTGGCTATAGTTACAATGATGTTCATTTTTGTGAAGAGACCATAGTAAATGTTCCTTTCTCATGGGAACACAAGCCTGGTCTCTCTAAAGTCACCAATGGCCACAATGGTGCTAGCTTGGTGCTTCAGCCTCCTCCATGTTCATCATCTGGATCTGGAACTGACACTCACAGACACAAAGTGGAGGAGGAGTCACAGATTCTATGTGCAGTGCAGAACTCACTCAGAATCAGCTCTTTCCGGATTGAGACTCACAAGGAAGAAGACCCTTTTGTTGAAGCTTACAAGAAATGCACTCAAAGTCCCTTTATACATCAACAGAGTCGTAGGGTCCAAAAGAGCAATAGATCTTGGCCTACCATAAGGAAGTATATTCATATTCTCTCTTGCAAGCACTCCAATGATGTTTTGTAGTCACAAAGTTGGGATTTTTTTTTGCTGAAATCAAGGTATCTCCCTACCAAAAGCCAGAGATTAGCCCCTCATGAAATTCATTTAAGAGATTGATCTCTCGTGTCGGATGTTATTCTATGCACATGGACTTGAACACCAAACTTGACCACATGCTTAAGAGACATGACTTACTGGTCAGTCATACTTCAACATATTGGTTCTTATAAAAATTGAGATGATATCTTCAATTGTTTGTTTATTGCATTTTTTTTTCTTTTTTCCTATGAGGGGTGAGGCATTTTTATGTATGTATTATATGACAGTTAAAGTATCATAGTTATTTTGTATAGAAAAGGATTGGTGAAAATAAAACAAGGAAGCAAGAGCATAGTCTCGAACTAGTTTATAATTTTCTGCAGCCTAAACATATATAATACACGACTCAAAACAGATTGTTCCCTTTTGTCTAATTTATAACTTTGGCCTGCTATGAACATTTTTATGTGTTTTGACTTCGATGGAGCTAATAAAATGTACACACGAATGTTGGCTGCTTCCTAGTATACGGTCCAAACCAAAATCATATATCAGCCGCAGTAGATTTAGAAAATTCCCTAATGAAAACGACAAATAGCTAACTGATTCAATGTTTCTCTGTGATCTTATTACCCAAAACATGTGATCTTACAGAAATATGGATTTTCTTTCCCCAAATAAAAACAAAACGGCTATGTATGTAATCTGATTAAAAACTAATTTCTCAGTTCAATTTGTTATATCCCTTGCAATGTCTTTTTGTCCAATTTCATGCAATGTTTTGACCTAATTCTTAAGAAAGTATAATTAAGTGTATGAACCTGTTTGCATATAAGTTAGAAGCACTTTTGCAAGCTTATTTATCAAAAATAAAGAATATTTTTTAATAGAATAACTCTAAAAAAACATTTATAAATTTATATCTAAACAGACTTTAACTAACTATTAAAAACTAACTTATAAAATTAGGATTGTTTTTATAGGATGTAGGCCCTTGTCAGGCAAGTCTACAGGAGGAGGAAGGCATATAGGAGTTAGGAAATAATTATCTTTTCAATTATTTTAGCAAGCATTATCATTATCTTTTTATTATTAGGATATTATTATCTTTATTTTTATCTTTTGTCATTAGGAAATAGTTATCTTTACTTTTAAGATAATTGTTTTTTAATCTTTTAGAAAAATTATATTTATTTTTCTATGACTTAATTAGGATTAGATAAGGGAGACAAAATCTATAAATAGGAAAAAATAATTAGAGAAGAGGTGAGAAAAATATTGAGTATTGTTTAAGAGGTTCCTAATCCCTCGAACTACCAATGTAACATTATTCTCTTTGTTTTAACCATCATCAACAAATATTGTTTTTCCTTCTTTTTCTGTTTTCTTGATTTAGGTTCTATCAACCTCCCACTTATATACACTAATTTGACTATCTTATTGGTAATATATAAAATCTTGGGATTAAATAGAGGAGGAATTCAGTCAACCATCATGGGTTTGTCTTATATTCTTCTAACTTTTTTCTGTTGTCTTCTTTTGAGTGATGCAAACCCTTGTGTGTGAACCTAGTCTTCTTTTAGCAACTATCTTGTGTCATTTTTTTCCAAGCTTATTTCAATTCCAAAACTAAATTTCCCTGTGCTTACGTTTTATGTGGTTGTCCATTGAGACTATGCCATTTAATTAGAATCAAGTGATGAAAGTGGACCAAGTAAATCTATATATAAAATATAGTGGCCTCATCATCGAATAACACTTCACCACCACCCCACTTCAAGACCACATATATATAAGGGTCATGTCATTATTCCATTAGCTAAAACTCTGAGAGAATGAGTCAACCACCACAGGATCGTTCATCAAGGAAGATAACCTTCTCATGGGAAAAGAAGCCTGGTGTGTCCAAAGTAATAACAAGTAGTGCTCATGTTGAAAGTTTGATCATCCCAAAAGAGCATGAGTTTTTGGCCAAGTTGCCACCCCCTCCTTGCACACCAGAAGAATCACTAACTCACAAAAACCCTCTTCATGATTTCCAAATTCCACTTCCTCCTTGTGCTTTTCAGCCTCCTTATTATAGAACTTCCTCAAAGAGGGGCCTTTGGGTTCAAGACAAAGATCCCTTCCTAGCCGCTATCAAAGAGTGCACCAAGAATCAGAAAAGTGCTAAGGTGAAGAACAAAAAGTCGATCAAAGATGGAATTGAGTCAAGGGTAAGAAAGAGCATGTTCTTTTTCACATGTAGCCGATCATGCTCAGTTCATGACAATAATTTGGTCACCATCTCTCATATAGATAAAGATTGATCATGTGTTTTAATAACTTTCTTAAGTTATGGTCTATTGGGAGATTTCTGTACAAGTCAAAATCTAGTATAGTATACTAAGGTGTGTGAAGAGGAATAATCTGAGAATGATTCTGCAACTGTTTTGCACGCTTTCTGTTCATGATTGAGTGAATTATGGTTAGCTGATTCATATGCTGGCCATTGTTGACTCCACGTAACCGTGTATGACTTTGCAAACGGTAGCTTTTTTCTTGCACGCATACCTTATTTTAAAAAATATATATATATTTAGCTGCATACTTGTACAGGTGTATTCAGAAAAAAACTGTTATGGTCCATTTTACTATTCATTAAACATTTTGATGATTAGTTTTCGTTAACTAAGGTCCTTTAGAAAAGTTAGATATATAAGAGGACTTCTTAAAAGTTAAGTAATAATTTTTTCTTTATCTACAAAAATTACAATATTATTTTATGTATATTATTTTGACCTATACTGTTAGATGGATCTTAATAGATTAGTTAAAGGCTGGCTATAATATGTGGGAGAAATTTTAGTAATTTTACATTTTCTTTTTTGTTAAATATTTTTGGTTAAAATATTTTTTTAATTATTATAGCTTCATTTATTTTATCTTTTAGTTCTTAAAATTAAAAATAGATTTTTTAGCATTTTTACTTATTTTTCAATTTTTTTAATAATTTAAGATAATTTTTTTAAGTCTTTATACTTGTAATTTTTTATTTTATCCTTTTAGTTCCGTCGTTAATTTTTTTTTATAACTTTGTTTTTCTTGCACTGGTATGACAAAATATTAATTTAACTTTGTGTCGAATTTATTTTATTAAAATTATTCTAAATTAGGTATTTTGAAGTTCCATGTATCTTTTATATCCTTATATACAACGTTCATTATTGATAAATTCTCTTTTTACACTCACAAAATTAAAGATCTTTATCATGTTAACACAAAATATATATTCGTTACAAAAAAAATAATGATAAAATTTAAAAGGAGTAAAAAGTTATTAGTGTATAATTAAAATGATATATCTATATGAAATTATAGAGACTAAAAAATTGAAAAAGATAAATATATGAATTAAAAATGTATATTTTAAATTATAAGGATTAAAAATAAAAGAAGTAAAAGGATAAGCATTATAAAAATATTTAACCAATGCTTTATTTTTACAAGAATATTGAAGCTGGTTCGATATCTCTTCGCTGTATTTTACTGTGTTATTTCATAGAAGAATGTGTTAAGAAAAAATATATATATATACAAGCCTACTAGAATAACACTTGGTTACCTCAAGTTAGTAACATAGGAGTTATTCTTGAATGGACCAAATTAAGTTCGGATCGTAGATAAATTATTATAGTGATATGTTAACCAAAAAACTAGATTGAATTATCTATGACCTATAATATATATATAGAGAGAGAAAAAGAAAGGTCAAATAAAGGGGTAAGGTAAAAAAAAAAAAAAAATCAAATCATAACCCATGGTAAAGTTATTTTATATCATAATAGCCAATCAAATGAGGTTACAGTTTCAAGTATGATTCCTTCTCTTAATATTGGTGGCCTCTTGAGTTTTATTTTTCTTATTTCGTGAATTTAAATAAAGGAAATTCAACTTAGTATTTAAATGGCTTTAAATTTCATATTGGTTTAAATACTTATTTATTACATGTAATTTGATTTCATAATAAACTTTATCTTTTAGTTTTTTTTTTCTTATAACAAATAGATGATGATAATAGTAAAGGAAAACTAAAAATAGTATATATAAGGATTAGAATAAAAAAATAAGAAGAATTAGAAGATAAAGTTTATAAAACTATATGGATCAAATGAGTATTTAAACCATTTATAATTGATATATTAAGAATTTCAACCTCGTTAATATTTCAAAAACTTTAAATTTTTTCATGATTTAAATATAGTAGACTTTTACTTTAACATTTTTTTTCAAGTGGAATTAAGTTTATATTTCTTAAGCAAAGGTTCAAGTTTGAATATTATAGATAGAAAAAGATAATTAAGAAAGGAGACTCGTTAGAAATATCATTCATGTTTTTTTAACGAAAATTAATCAATTATTACAAGAAAATGATGATTTTGTAACGGTTATATGATCTACTGATTAGAACCACCGCAAAGACGTCATTGCGACAGTTCACCAACCGTCGCAAAAATGTCCGTCACGAATGAATTTTGTAATGGTTACCGGAATCATCGCACAAACCATCGCAAAATCGGAATTTTGACCCTTATAGCACCCGTCATACCAATTGCCTCTATATTAACATTGCGACCATTCCATCACCCGTCACACCAACTACTTCTATATTAATATTGCGATCCTTGTGTCACTCATTGCCTAAACTGCCTCTATATTAATATTACAACCCTTTGTATATTCGTCGCACGAACTGCCTCTATATTAATATTGCGACCCCTCAATCAATTATCGCAAAAACTGTCTCTATATTAACATTGTGACAGTTATTTAAATGATGCGATGTTTATTATTTATTTTTTAAAATTAAATTTTAAATCATTTTTAAAATAAATTTCATATCACTTTTTAAAAATATTTCAATCATTATTTTATTTTTATTTTTATAAATATTTTGCATCACAATTTAGTAGATATTAATGTATACTTATTAATATTTTATATATTACAATACAATTAAACATTAATTAGATTACAATTTAGGAATTATTACAATAATATATACAACAATCATTTTATATATTTTTTGTTATAATACTTATCTATCTATTATTTTTATTTAAACTATAATATAATTAGACAAAATTAAATAACATAAGCTAATAATAAAATAAAATAAAATTCATAAACATTCATAGCTCCCCACTTTACTACAATATTGTGATTTAACATTTTCTTTTATTAGCTTTATCATTAAAGACAAAACCCATCTCCAAGACTACTTAATGTAGAATGAATCCAAAAAAAAAACGAAAAATAGGAATTTTAGCAGAAAAGGAAACCATACCTCAATATAATGAACACCAAGACCGTGCGTTGCATTTTTCGTTTGGGATGACCCAAGACCTGAGCATGAATTTGTGTGCGCGCATGGTTGAGAAACAATGAGAAGAAGGGGTTGCACACGCCTTAGACAATATTTCAATTTGCGGCTTCAATTAATTTTTCATTCCCACCCCCTCACATGTAAATTAATATATATTTATTAATGTTATATTTTAATTTATTTTTCTGTGTGTCACACTAACATTTTAATATTTCCAGTTTCTTCTTCTTTTTTAATTGTAATCTTTCAAAAAAATAATTTTATAATTACTCTTAACTTTATAATTTTGAGTCACGATTTTGAAATTATAGAAATAATAATAATCATGTTAAAGAAAAAAAAATATATATATAATTGTTAATAAAATACAAGTTTATTAAGATAATACAATACTTCCAAAAGAAAAATATTACTTTTGGTCTAGTCGACTATTTAATGTATTTTTAATCCTAAACTTTATCAAATTTCACTGTAACTTTTGAACGGAATAATATTTAATCTGCACTAAAAATAGGTTTTAAATTCTAATTAAATAGAGGTTAGATATATACTTTCAAACCTAAAAGTGATTTTTAAGTTAATATTTATGAAAAGATAATTTAATTTATCAAATATCTTATATTTAATTAACGATTAAAATAATAAATTTCATAAATTATTTATTAGTTGTTCAATATTCTCGATTTAATCCACAATTAATTCAGATGTATTACTAATTTCACTAACACGTAAAAAAATGTAATAGTTATTTTTTTTATTTTTAGTTTTCCATGATTAAAATAAAATTTTTTTATTCTAAAATAATTTAAAAGACAGAGAAATAAAATTAATATAGTATATTAATGTATTTTTTCCGTTTTAACATTTCTAAATGTAATTAAATGTCATTATGATTTTACTTTTCTATTTTTTTATTGAAAGTAAAATTATAGAATTTTGGAGTGTGTATGGCTTTGTGTGATTTTTTTTCTTCAATTTTTGCCTTGTAGATTACGACAGTTTACTACAAATTGCCTCAATATTTTGCGACAGTTATTTGGCTCCGTCGCATGAACTGTCGCAATATTGAAACATTTTGTAGCGGTTTGGAGTAAATGTCGTATGAACAGTCGTAATATCGAACCAACGACGGTTTCATGATAATCGTCGCAATTTATCCGTCATAATTCATTCTTTTCCTTGTAATGAATGACAGAGTCAATAGATATTTCGCTCTAATAATATTAGTGACATAAAAATATTTACCAACTTCATCTCATAGTTTAAAATCGTTTGTCAACATAAATTGCAAATGATTAATTTATCTAAAGTCAACAACTTATATTAAAAAATTAGCATGGGTTCCAATAAGTGGGATGCTCATAATTTTGAAGTGTTAAGGATGAAATCTAAAGATGAATCAACATTGAATAGGAGGTAACTCAAGTGAGTGAGCAAAAGATCCCTTCAGTTTGTTTCGATATAAATTATAAGTGTTTTTGATAACTTTTCTATTAGCAAAAAAATATTTTTTTTAGTGAACAAATTCTCAAAATTAATTCTATATTGGTTTCCAAATAATTTTCTTATCTACCAAATTTGTTATGAAGCAAAAAAATATAAGTTTTTTTTTAAAAGACAAATATCACTCAAGGATTAGAGAAAGAAAAGACTTCCCAGTCATGGTTTACATTAGAGACAATTTCATATGGGATATCCTCTATTCATACCTAGTCCAAAGAAGAAAAGGCTATTTTAGCTAAAGAACCAACCACTATATCCCCCCATTTTGGTATGTAACAAAAACCTATTGTTTGTATAGTAAACAACATTTCTCTACAATCCTACAACATAGCTCCCAAATATGTACAAATCTGGTCCTCACCCTTCCTCTAACTACTTACAAGAACTTGATAATCAGATTCAAAGCACACATTATGTAAAAGTAGTTGATTAACCAATTAAATTGCCCATTTGAAAGCTATTTCTTTTGTTAGCATAGGTTGGTAGCATTGAGGTTCCCAGGAGATTGTTGAAGCCATTACTTCCCCTAGATGGTTTCTGAAAATAACCCCCAACCTTGTCCCTCTTCCTTTTCTAGTTGAGGCATCAAAGTTTGCCTTGAGGAAGCCAATTGAAGGTGGTTTCTAAAGAGGTGG